GGTGTGATTGAGTTGACCAATGAAATCACTGTGTATGGGGTTTGCATTTAACTGGTTTTGGGTACAATAAATCACCCGGCACCTGTCAAGACAAGAAAACAAGATATTTCATTTGTCGTGCGGTGTCTAATTCTATAGTGTTGTGCTGGTTAGCCCTGCCCACATCAAAATCTCATTGGTCAAATTTCACTCCATATAGCTGCACTTCAAACATTAAATATTCTCTGATTGGCTGAGATTGTGCAGTATTTTTTCTTTCAGAGTGGACAGACAATATACAGTCGGTGAAAACTGGACATGTCATGCCTGGTTAGGACACAGCGTTAGAGTTAATACAAAACAGAATGAAAGTAACTGCTGTAGCTATTGTTTAATGGCTCATCCAGAGTCTTTAATGGAGGGGAGATATATATTGAGCACATGACATCAGCCCTTCAAGGCAGATTGCTTTCATGTATTGTTTTTTCTAGGTCTGCTCCCCTTGCAGACAGTGAGAGGAAGACAGAGAGATAAAAAAGCAAAAAGAGAGACAGAAAATATACTGAAACATCTCTACACGGCAAGCCTGTCAGGGAGGACAAACCTGCTGGTTACACTGGGATGGCGTACTGCCGGGTTTGCTGTCACACACTACTGTCAAAAAGTCCCAAATACACACTCGCTCGCATACAAACTTTCTCAGAAAGAAAGTGTTTACTGCACACAAACTGTTCGGCGGCCCAACATGCACACTCGAAACCCGCTGCCATCTCTCAGACTGGGAGTAACGCCACGTTCACGGAGCCTAGTTTTCCCTTTCCGACTGTCACCGCACCAGGCGCTCACCAGCCCACGTACCACCCAGGACTCATCCCACGTAAATGATCTTTCCTCCATTTTAAGTCTTCATTATCATGCTTTCCGTTTTTCTTCCACGCCGACGGCATATCCCATGTCTTCTCTTGCACTTAGAGGTGAATTCTGGGCCTTCGTTTTAAAGCTGGTGCATCGTCTTCAAAGGCCAGAAGGATTAGGTTTCTGGGAAAAGCCTGAGCCCTAATGGAAGCTGTAGACCATATAGACGGAAGCAGTAACCAGTAAAATAGTGAAAGCTTGATCTCCAAATGCTTTAAGCGTCGATAAAGTGCTGATGTTGCTGAGACTTAATCACACACACACTCTCGCTCCATACTCCCATCAACCTGTCTCCTGCTCTCCAGCCTTTACTGGAAGAACTGACCTGAGATGGAGAATTGAACTGAAAATCACGTCAGCATTGATCGAGTCTCGAAGCTTAAGTGCAATTCAGCTGGAGATTCAGCTCAGATGAACATGCAAGAAGGCGCACACACTCGACAACATGAGCAATAAGCATATGTGTCATTAATTTTAGCGTGGATGCTTAAAGGCCCCAATATACGCATGACCGAGTTCTTTTAGTTCTTCGTTTAGGGGTTAAACGAAGTTCGGAATACGTGAGCAGCGATTTACTATTAGCGCACATCCCGTTTAGAAAAATATATGCTGCACGCTTTACTCTCAATAACAAAATAAACAAAACTGAGAATATAGCAAGCATTTTAATAAAGCATAAGAAAAGCATCCGATCATAGCATCGTGGATATGTTTGCACGAGCCCTACGGCACTCCAGTAAAGTCACGTCACGTTATTTTATATATCACTTTATATAATAGATAGCTTAAAACCAAGCAGTTTTACAGTATTAAACATCACAAGTATAACTTCATTTTCTACTGTAAAGCAGCTCTCCAGTGCGTTTTCACTCACAGATGTCCGGAGCCTCCGCGCACATCTACCTATTACTTAATCGGCACAGACCAATGGTAGTAGGAAGGTGTTTAGCAAGCTGTTTCGAAATGACGTCACATCAGTTTGTTTTTCGATTTCGCTTGAAGTAAATCGGCACTTAAAGGGATAGTTCACTTTGAAATTAATTTTTGGTATGTTTTAGCTTACCTCAAGGGCATCCAAGATGTAGGTGTCTTTGTTTCCGCTGTAGTTTCAATTTTGATATTTTTAGATCAAACCGTTCTTGTCTGTCAGTCATATAATGCAGGTCTATGGTCACCACCTCAAAGAGCATGCACTGAGAAGTCCAAATTAAACATGATTTAATGACTCGTAAATGTAAGTACACATTGATGGCCTAAGACACGAAACGAGCGGTTTGTGTGAGAAACCGAACAGTATTTATATCGGTTTTACCTCTTGTAAACACAGCCAGGTCCAAGTGATCTGAGGGCGCGGGCGCTTCGGTCTGCGCAAGCGCCGGAAGTGATCTTTCGCGCGTATACATCACTTATTGTTTACACAAAGATTTCGGAAGTGTTACCTTTCACTGTGAAGATGTAAACATATTTAGATATACAGGAAATCGCAATGGAAAATGATTTCGATATATCAACAGACAACGTTGAATTTTCTTTTTGTTTTTTTGGAAGAGATCACTTCCGGCGCTTGCGCAGACCGAAGCGCCCGCGCCCTCAGATCACTTGGATGTGGCTGTGGTTACAAGAGGTAAAAACGATATAAATACTGTTCGGTTTCTCACACAAACCGCTCGTTTCGTGTCTTAGGCCATCAATGTGTACTTATATTTACGAGTCATTAAATCATGTTTAATTTGGACTTCTCTGTGCATGCTCTTTGAGGAAGTGACCATAGACCTGCATTATATGACTGACAGACAAGAACGGTTTGACCTAAAAATATCAAAATTGAAACTACTGTGGAAACAAAGACACCTACATCTTGGATGCCCTTGAGGTAAGCTAAAACATACCAAAAATTAATTTCAAAGTGAACCATCCCTTTAAAGGTGAAGAATGTAATTTCTGTTTGGTGCCACTAGAGGCACAGTTTTGTTAATAAGAGTTAATAAACCATGAACCAAACCAACCAGCTACGAGGTGAATCACAACATTACAAACTTTTGATTTGGAGCAAAAAAGTATTTGAAAATCAGACAGGAGTACTTAACGGCATTAATGAGGGAAGCTATAATCAAATAAAGCATTGTAAATTAAAAGTGATGTGTACATTTTAAAGATTTAAAGATTAAACAATATATTTTATGTTTATTGAAAAATATGCATACAAATATTTTAGTTAGACAGTGTAGGGAAACTAGTGCTTCATGGGAGTGAGCAGGCTCTAAAAAGTTCTCTGGCGAGATTTGTTTGTTTTGATTCTATGACTGGAGTATTCTGTGTATTTGATTCTGTGAAGTATGTGTGCATACAGTATGAATAATAGTATGAAAAGTAGACTGTCGTGTCGCATTGTAATGTGATCTGCTTCATTAGCTGCATCACTGTTCCTCGCTATTTACAAATGTAATGACTCTCCTGTGGCCTCACGCTTCAGAGTTTCAGTGCAAAGAATGCGTCATCCAGGTATTTTTTGCCTTTGGTTTTATGAATACTGTGTATTCGGGCATCCTACACATTTGAAATGCTTTTTGCATACATTCTTTTTGCATATTTTCCCCATATATAGTATGTAGAGCTGTATTCAGACTTTGATGGGACATCAAACTACTAATGGCTTACTTTTAGTTGTCTCTGCACTTGTGATAAGAGAAAGTGTTACATTCCTTGAAAACATGACACTTTCACTTTAAATGGAATCGTTAATATGTGTGTGCGCTTTAAGAAAAATCAGGTGGTGAGCAGTTGAAGGGAGTGTTTTATGAGAATACAGTCGTGCTGCTGTATATATGTTTGTTGGACAATCTGGGTGAGGATTACGTGCACAACAATGACAAATGGGGTTTGTGTGTGTGTGTGTGTGTGTGTGTGTGTGTATGTGTGGTCTACTGGTGTGGAGAGCCTGTGTAGCAGATAAACGGTAAATAAATGGAGACGATTTCTATCTCGTCTCTTACAGGCCCACCGCCAGTACTGAGGGAGGGGGTAGGGGGTCATGCTGATAATACTCATTAATGTCTGTCGCCACACAAACATTTAGCATTTAACCTGAGTTAGCGACAGATGCTAATGTGTCTCGCTGCACCAGATCCAGTCCTGAAGAAGCCAGTGAGAATGCACTCATGAAACTAGGATTTGTTTCATCGGGGTGAATAAGACCGAAAATGAGAAGAATTTTTTTAATTTTTATTAGTGTTTGTGATTTATATATATGTAGAATTACTGAAAATGATTTTGAGCAACACTGTTATATATACATTGTTGCTGGGAAAACAAGGATAGAGAAGAGACCATGTCAAGTTTGTTGTCATGTTTTTTACATTTTATTTTGTCCCATACATTCACTAGTTTTACCAGTTTCTCTGCTGTGTAAAAAAAATGCACAACAGTAAATTTGATTTTGACTTCAAATTTCACTTTGTACCAGATGCTAATATTGTTTGGAAATTTGAACAGATAAAAAGTTCATTTATTGCTATAAATGAATGTCCTTGGCGGATGCTTTCTTAAGAAAATTACACAGCAGGTTGGCTGGTTTGTTTGTTTGTAAGACAGAAAAAGAGAGATCAGCAGTCTTATCCTGTGAGGGGGAGTTACAGTCCCATAGGACATTAAGACGGAGGACTCCTGAGGGCCATTGCACTAAACGCAGCTTTGCTACAGTGTTTCCACATGTCTCATCACTTTCTCTCTTTGGGCACAAAGAAAGATGGCTGGACATTTGTCATTGAAAGCCTGGCATGTTGCGAATGAGTGAATGTGGAAGGGAAAACTGAGGAAGAAAAGAGACAAAAATAATATCGCAACTGCTTGTAGAGATGTTAGAAAGTGTCACACCACCATCAGTTTCTCTCTCTTTCTCTTTCTCTCTCTATAAGTTTGTTGTCTGTTTTGTTCTTTTGCTTTGGCTGCTGTTTTTGATTCTTCTTTTAAATTGGGACACATGATCTCTAGTTTGTCATTTTTCTTGTTTTGCTGTTTTGGAATTTTTTGCTCTTTTTGTTTAAGCGCAGTAAAATCTTTTTGAATTTTGTCTTTTCTCTTTCCCCCCCTTTTTGTCTTAACCCCAGGTCCACTCACAAAAAAACATGATGAGTCTTCGATGAACAGGCCGAGGGACGAAGGTATTTTTCTTGCATGTTTTTCCCTTTTTGTCTTGTTTTTCAGACTCTTTTTGGGGGGGGGGGGGGGGGGGGGCGGTTGTAATATGTGCCATAATTTCTCTTGATTATTTCGTCTTGTATGTTTTCGCATTTGTTTTAGCTCAAGTCACAGACACACATAGATATGCTCAAGCATACATGCACTTATTCATGCACTGCTGATGTGGTTATTTGTGCTGCATATGTTTTTAATCTCTTCTCGAACCAAATGATTCTTACATCATTTCATTATAACAGGCTTTTATTTTAGGAATAATGTCCCGTCGACGGTTATTAAGATTTCATTATACGTCTTGTGTCCTTTTTGATGAATGGCAAAGGATTAGCTAGAAATCAATAAACTACAAATCCCATCAGCCCCCTGTGATTTAGTGCAATTTCATTGGCCGACATGCATCCAGCTGAGAATGCAGTAGAGTAGCTAATAGACAAGAGGCTGGATTTATTGAGTAAAACTGAGTCTAGATGCTGAATGTTCTAATAGTTTTAAAAATGACTTCATATTAATCTTATATCTTAATATGCCCCCGATTATATGAATAAAAATGTCACAATAATTGCACTAATTTTATTGCTTAAATTTTGATAATAAGAAGGAAGTTGCAGACAAATATGTATGTGTTTACAGCATATACTGTGTGTCTGAACACATTTGTGTTTGTTTGAGTGTGTGGGTGTCTTTGCAAATGTGTGTGCATGTCGATCATTCCACGTAACACTCTTTCACAGATTCCACAAAATGTGTTTCTGTTGTGTTGGGAAAAAAAGCTGGCAGCTGTAGTTGCCAGAAATTCACTGTAGAAATACAGTGACAACATTTGGTGCCTGTATATTTAGCAGTTTATGACATGCTGTATATCTTTTACCGATTTAATTTACCTATAGGCAGTACTTAAATCTGCTTTGTATTATAAAATATATTCTCATCAATAATGCAAGTAATAAAAGTAGAGGGTCACATGATGGCAATGAGTTCATAAAAATTGGCTTTAACATGACACCAACATGTAGACAGTATACATTGTTAAAATAACTAAACAACATCAAATGTAGAATATGTACATATAAAGAAAATACAAGTTGGGAAAATACTAATATTTTATAATTCAATAATTTCTTTACTTTATCCCTTTAAGAAGACAATACATGTACTTTTAACAGTAGTTCATCCAAAAATCATTTACTCACTGTCATGATGTTCCAGACAAGTATATGACATTCTTTCATCTGAGGAACAAAAAAAAAAGGATTTTGAAAAATGTGTTTATCATCTTTTTTTCTTTTTCTTTTTTTTTACGAATCGGGACTTCAAGCTATGGAAAATCACCAATAAAGTAGTCCATACAACCCATGCGCTATATTCCGAGTCTTCTGAAATGTATGTTTCTTTGTGTGAGAAACAGACCCAAATTTTAAGTAGATTCACTGAAAATCTTGACATTTGCCCAAGTTCTGACATACTTATCTTAAGAGAGTATAAGAGAGTTCATAGAAGTAACAACGTCCATTTCATAAGCATATCATAAGTCTTTTGACTCTTAGTTTCCAATGAATCAATTGATGCAGAAACCTTTCAGTTCAGTGCACACACATTCCTTCTTTTGTGTTCCACTGAAGAAAGTCAAATTTGAACAACAGTAACAGGTGAGTAATTGGTCATTTTCCTTTTGGGTGAAAAAAAAATATGTATATGTATGTATATATATATATTTTTTTGGACTGAGAAAATTACGCCCCAAAAATTAATTTATTATATTATTTATTTATATCCATTATTGTGTTGAATGAGAAACGCATTAAAGTAGCTTTAGAAAGAAATGTTAAAATGTTATTTTAAATTGTATTTGATTCAACAGAATTTATTACACATAAACTTTTAAGCTACAACAACCATAAGGCCATGAAGGTGAGTAAATGATGACAGAATTATCTTTTTTGGGTGAACTATATCTTCGATGTTTTGTTTTTTGTTTTTGTTTTTTATATGGAGACATGAAAGAAAAAAAATGAAATGGTACTCTAAATAAGAAACTAAAACTGCCAGTAGGTGGCGGTAAATGTCTTAATGAGCAAGTGATTGAGTCATTCATTCATTCATTCGATTAGTTCAAAGAGCTGATTCATTCTGGAATTTAGTTTGGAGCTGTATTATGGCTCTTTTTATGAACGGTTCACCCAATTGATTAGTTCAAAACGTGGATTAATTCGGAAACACACAACAGTTCTGCTGTGGCATATAGGCAATATTTTCGTTTGCAAAATTGAGTAAAAACAGACAATATTGTCTGAAATAACACAATATTATCTTTAATGAACTGTTGTATAAAATTAGTATCACATTTGCACTCGTGCTATTTGGGATAAAAACAGCACTTATGTGATATTGCGTTTGTTCTTTCTTTCTTTATTTGTTTATGTTCCCGAAGGGCAATTGGTTTTGCAGCAAGACCAGCATACAAAAAAAAGACAATTTACAATACATTAAAAGTAACATAAAAAGCTACACAAGACAATTCACCAAAGCAGTCTTTGCCTTCACACTAAGACTGCCATACCAGCATAACAAAGCGAATGTTAAATGGACGCAGTATAAGATTTGTAAAACAAAGTCATCAAGGACCTATCAACGTTAAACTTGCTGGCCCTTTTTCTTTTTTTTTTGGCCCGTCTCCACATTGCAATTAAAATTCAACTTGTTATCAATCACACATCCCAGATACTTATATGATTCCACAACTTCAACCTCCTGCTCTTTAGTGGTTGTTCTCTTTAAGTCAATTTGATTTCGCCTGAAATCAATAAGCCTGTCCTTCGTTTTAAACATTTATTTGCAGGAATGCACTGTCACACCACTGAACAAAATCTCAATAATAATATAGTCAAGCAATATCACATGATATAAATATGAGACTAAGTCATTCTAACTGCATTCTATAGGCTGGTGCGGGTACATTAAATGTGTTTAATTTTAAAACGATATTTTTTTACATAGCTAATTGACAGCCCTAATATATATAAATATATATATATATACACTCACCGGCCACTTTATTAGGTACCCCATGCTAGTAACGGGTTGGACCCCCTTTTGCCTTCAGAACTGCCTCAATTCTTCGTGGCATAGATTCAACAAGGTGCTGGAAGCATTCCTCAGGGAGTTTGGTCCATATTGACATGATGGCATCACACAGTTGCCACAGATTTGTCGGCTGCACATCCATGATGCGAATCTCCCGTTCCACCACATCCCAAAGATGCTCTATTGGGTTGAGATCTGGTGACTGTGGAGGCCATTTTAGTACAGTGAACTCATTGTCATGTTCAAGAAACCAATTTGAAATGATTAGAGCTTTGTGACATGGTGGAAGTAGCCATCAGAGGATGGGTACATGGTGGCCATAAAGGGATGGACATGGTCAGAAACAATGCTCAGGTAGGCCGTGGCATTTAAACGATGCCCAATTGGCACTAAGGGGCCTAAAGTGTGCCAGGAAAACATCCCCCACACCATTACACCACCACCACCAGCCTGCACAGTGGTAACAAGGCATGATGGTTCCATGTTCTCATTCTGTTTACGCCAAATTCTGACTCTACCATCTGAATGTCTCAACAGAAATCGAGACTCATCAGACCAGGCAACATTTTTCCAGTCTTCAACTGTTCAATTTTGGTGAGCTCTTGCAAATTGTAGCCTCTTTTTCCTATTTGTAGTGGAGATGAGTGGTACCCGGTGGAGTCTTCTGCTGTTGTAGCCCATCCGCCTCAAGGTTGTGCGTGTTGTGGCTTCACAAATGCTTTGCTGCATACCTCGGTTGTAACGAGTGGTTATTTCAGTCACTGTTGCCCTTCTATCAGCTCGAACCAGTCTGGCCATTCTCCTCTGACCTCTGGCATCAACAAGGCATTTCCGCCCACAGAACTGCCGCTCACTGGATGTTTTTTCTTTTTCGGACCATTCTCTGTAAACCCTAGAGATGGTTGTGCGTGAAAATCCCAGTAGATTAGCAGTTTCTGAAATACTCAGACCAGCCCTTCTGGCACCAACAATCATGCCACGTTCAAAGTCACTCAAATCAACTTTCTTCCCCATACTGATGCTCGGTTTGAACTGCAGGAGATTGTCTTGACCATGTCTACATGCCTAAATGCACTGAGTTTCCGCCATGTGATTGGCTGCTTAGAAATTAAGTGTTAACGAGCAGTTGGACAGGTGTACCTAATAAAGTGGCCGGTGAGTGTATATAAAGCTTTTACTGGATAGGTAAAATTAGTACTTACTACTTTCAAAAAACGTCATTTAAACAGTGTTGTTTCATTAAAAATGAAATAGTATTATAGAAATAGTTTTATAGTATTCTATTTAAAATGACTATCATTCTTTACTGCATACATGTCTGCATGTGCTGGGCTCGCACTCGTTGCGTTGAGTTCTCGGATTTTGGGCGTCTCTAATTGCAGAGGTTTAAATAGAGACACTGCCAGCTAATCCAATTTTGCGTCTCTGAACACGGGAGAGAAGAGGAGAGGAAACGCACAGCAGAGACGGAGGAAAAGAGAACGACAGAGAGGAGAGATGAAAAAGGAGGAGGAGAGGGGGAACACTCAGATCCCCAATTTGAGAGCATGGAGGGGGAGAGATCGCTAAAAAAACTGTTGTGATAAAGACGAGTATATGATGAAATAAGATTCATGGAGCTTTGAAAGTGAGAGAGGATGTGTGGGCGGGAGACAGGAACGAGAAGGGAGAGGGATGGTCATGGTGCAAAAGGTAGCGCGCTTGCTCACGACACACGAGAGAGGCGCTGGCTCACGGGGACCCGGGTTCGAATCCGTCGTGTCCCGATCCCTTTCCCATTCCCACCTTCTCTCGCTTTACTTTCCTGTAAATAACGTTGAGAAAAGCCCAGACGGAAAAGAACAAAAGATAGAGAGTGAAGTCCCATAACGAGAGCAGAGAGGCAAAGATGAAGGCAAAGAGTTGAGGAGAGGGGGAGAGAAGAAGGAAAAGCAGGAGATCAGAGAGAAAGGGAGGGGGAGGTGCGGCATAGGAGAGGAAGAGAGAGATGCAGGCTTGGAGGAGGAGAGACAGAATAGCGTTCTTGTATTTTGAGGATGTTTTGAAGCGAATAGGATACTAAGGCCTCTGTTGAAAGGATCTGGGCGTTGTGCTTGGTATCTCTCTCTCTATTTCGGACTTTTTCCATCCCATATTGAGGCTAATGCATTGCATACGGTCTCTCTCTCTCTTCCTGTGTCTCCCCATTCTTCCGTCGCTCTTACACACACACACACACACAAAGATTATACTCACGGATTCGCAAGCAGGGTTGTCCCAGATAAGATGTTTGTGGATTCTATGTGCTTCTCTGTGATGCATCGCACACAAAAAATATCTCAATACTGCAGCAAAAAAAAAAACGGCTTGGAGAAATCTCTTTTTACAGCGTCTGATTCTACACTTTTTTCATTATTATTGACATTGAAGGGATAGTTCACTAAAAAAAAAATCATATTCAGTCATTATTTACTTACCCTCATGTAGTTCCGAACTTGTTTTCTTTCTTCCTTGGAACAAAAGCAGATGTTTAGCTGAATGTCCAAGCTGCTCCATGTAATGCAAGTGCATGATGGGGATCAGAGTCCGTTAAAGCTTCAAATAGGCTTTATAAAAGCAGTCCACACATGACTCGTCTTCTATAAGACTATATTCCAAGTCTTCTGAAGTCATATAGATTGTGTGAGGAACAGACCCACATTTAAATGTGCTGAAAATTGCCCTAAACATCTGGCTTCATTCAGGCTAGGAATGACATGAGCATGAGTGAACTATTTAATATTTGCATATATGCGGCGAAGCCGATAGCCTTGTGGGCAGCGCTTTGACATCTAGCGCAACTGAGTTCTGAGAACTTTAAAAAAAAAAAAATCAAATTGCATTGAATCATGGGGGTTCATATTGAAATCAATTGATTTTGCTTTTGTATCTTGGAAGGTCTGAGTTCAGTTTGAGACATCTTTAAGATTTCTTCCGAAATACACTACCGTTCAAAAGTTTGGGGTCGGTAAGATTTTTAAAAATAGAGAAATCTTTTGTTCGTACCAAAGCTGCATTTATTCGATCAAAAATACAGTAAAACTGTAACTCTTTTCTATTTGAATATATTTTTAAATATATTTTATTTAATTTATTTATTTATCACATGATCCTTCAGAAATAATTCTAATATGCTGATTTGGTTTGAACATTTATTATTATCATCAATGTTAAAAACAATTGTGCTGTTTAAAATGTTTTGTGGAAAAACAACTTGTTTTTTCTTGGATGTTAAGAATGTTTATGGGTGAATAGAACAGCATTTATTTGAAATAGAAATCTTTTGATCCATTTAATGCATCCTTGCTGAATAAAAATATTAATTTCTTTCCTATAGGCACCCAAGTTGCCTTACAGTGACACAAAAAAAGCAGTTCCATCCTGATAAAGATTTCCCATCAGCTGATTGGCTGTTCACAGCACTCAGCCATAACAGCACACCTGACCCACACGGTCCTATCTGATTGGCCGACTCATTGGTGTCATTGCTTCAATGGCACCAATAAAACATAGACTTTACCAAGTAACTCTTGCACTGAGGGTGTGAAACAACACACATCAACACCAGGAAAAATCTTAACAGTCTAATATTAGTCTTGTGTGTATCTGTGCGTCTAAAAGAGATACTCTGGGAAAATTGAACTTGTTTATATTTCCATTGGAAAATCAGTGGTCTCTGTATTCAAGAGACCCAAGCAATGTGTTTATACAAGTGCCCATACTTGTGCACGAGCATGTTCATGCATGATCGCACATAGGTGTGTGTGTGTGTGTGTGTGTGTGCTGAACAAACAGATGTGCTCAATGTATCATAAGTGTGTGTTTATAAAGAGGTGTGTTTGTCTACAAGCAGAGGTGTTTGTGTGTGTGCAAAGATTTAAGAATAAAAAGTGTGTGTGTGTGAGTGTGCAGTCGCTGTAATGCGTTTGTAACCCGAGATTCAGGTGGTGATGCAGGCGGGCGTGCAAATACGTGCGTAGAATTTGTTTCCGTGGCAACAGGCATGAGTGAGTCAGTGCTGGTGAGCTTCTATTAGACAGAGAGAGAGAGAGATGAGGCAGTTTCCATAGCGACTCAGCATCACAGCTGCCTGTGTGTGTGTGATTTTGTGTGTCCGTGAAAGGACCTTGGTCTGTGTAACTTTTATTTTATTCTCTTTTGTGTGCCGTTTCCTTTTCACATCTCGATCTCTTCCTGTCTCTCTCTCTCTCTCTCTCTCTCTCTCTCTCTCTCTCTCTCTCTCACTGCCACTCCAGCATTCTCTCCCTCTCTCTCTTAATCTGTCTCACTCTCGCTTTTATGATTTCTCCCATCTCTCTCACCCACACTCTTTCTTTCTCTCAGACCCCCCTCCTTCTCTCTCTCTCGGGGTAAACAGATGTCGTGGTAGTTATTTATGTTTCTGCATGGTCTGGTTTTCATATGAATTATCTACAGCGCTTGCACACCACAGAAGCACTGGCTAACTGGACATCGCTGACTGCCCTCACACACACCATCGCACTCACACACACAAGCATCTCCGAGAACATATGTATATATGCATGAGCATGTGCAGCTCAAACACACCGCAAGAGAAAAGCAATGGGGAGCAACCTGTACCAATAAGCAGCATATATAGATGTGAATCTAAAAGAGACAGAATAAACCAATCTGGACACTTGAGACGGGGGAGTTTGGAAGGGTCTAAGGACAGAGAAGGTACCAATGAAGCACACGAGGGAACGCGAAAGGTACCAATGCAGCACCTAGACTTGAGATGGTGGAATTGTTGAGAGAGTCAAAGCTCTGTCAGAGCCGGTCTGACCTATCAGAGCTTTTTGTATTCCAAATGTACAGAGGAGAGAGAGGGAACGCACACAGACTGTACTAACTGATACAGAGATACATCAGAGCAACTTTTGGAAGAGGAACAGACAGACTGTGCCAGCAGAGTGCAGAAATGATGAGCCAATCCGAGGCAGACCGTGCCAAAAGATCCCAGAGTGTGAGGAGACGATTGAGGATATGTTCGGAATCGTGTACTAATATACTATTTCTGCAATTTACAGTGTTTGCATTTGTATACTCGGATGACCTCCTAAAGTTGCCATTGTTTGCAGTATACAGCAGAACATATGGTACTGTGTACTGTAATGCAGTGTGCTCAACTTGACCTTCTATTTTAAAGAGGTGACAAGTGAACTGGAAGCGATATCAAGCTCTGTTTTTACCATCTTCTTCTTGACTCATTATTCGATCTGACCGTCAAATGGAAACACATTGCACACTGTGTAGTATGCAGTAAACAGAACTCTAGTGTTCAATTCCTAACATATCTCCTGTCTAAATAAGGCAACTGCACATTAAAATGCACCTTATTCTTTTGCCAAAGATCATTTCTGCTTAAAGTTTTAAAATGCTGCAAAACATTTTTTCCAATCGTATGTTTCAATTGAAATGAATGCATTAATATATGGTTCTATATATGTGATGTTATATACACTACCATTCGAAATGGATTATATTGTCGAATCTTTATAAAGATTTTTATTTCAAATAAATGCTGTTCTTTTGAAATTTCTGTTCATCAAAGAATCCTGAAAAACGCTTTCCACAAAAATATTAAGCAACTGTTTTCAACATTGATAATAATAAGAACTGTTTCTTAAGCACCAAATCAGCATATTGGAATGATTTCTGAAGGAAGTATTCTGATGTGACAGAAGTAATGGCTGTTTATTTAAAGTTCAGAATGATAAACAACATATTACAATGTAAAAACAGTTATTTTAAATTGTAATATTTCACAATATTACTATGTTTGATTAAATAAATGAGTCTTTCAAAAACATAAAAACATTGTGCTGACCCCAAACTTTTGAACGGTAGTGTATAAGAACTATACATTTATTAATTGAATTGTCAATTAAAATTGTGCATGGTTGTAAAATAACAAATATGTTATATATACACTATATCAAGTGCATAATATCAGGCTTTATCACTAAGTAGATCAGTACTGGTCATTTTACAATGAAGCTGCAACATTTGTATTGTATATTATATGTTGCGCTCAAAAGAAATGTATGCATGTTTATGCTTTTCACAGATATTAGAGATCGTCGGAAGAAGCCTGTGATGTTGTTTATCCATGGTGGTTCGTACATGGAGGGGACAGGAAACATGTTTGATGCAAGCGTTCTTGCTGCCTATGGAAACGTAATTGTTGTCACTATGAACTACAGATTAGGTGTTCTGGGTAAGTACAACGTCGTCTTTTTTATTATTTTATTGCTGCTGCAGCTGTTGTTGTCCTGTTATAGTTGTTGTTAATTTGACTTTTTATGTCATTTAAAGGAGAGTGGCACATTTTTGAGAATGGTCTGCCTGTTCTTTTTAAAATGGCAATAGGGACTGATAAAATTGATATAAAATGCTCCAAAAATGAAATAAAAAAAGCCCCATAAAAATGTCAATGTTTGCTGAAAATCTAGCAAATAAGTCACGTTGCACCAGATTTAACATCAGTAAAGTCCAGTATCATTGGTTCTCATGCCAAAGCCTCCACAACATGTCTTGACATGCCAGTTTTGAATGCAAGTGCAAATGAGATTTGAGCACTATTGTGTTGCTTCAGAAGACTTGCGGATAAATAATCCCTTATAAATTTCCAGTGTAAGCATTTGTGCAGTTTTTTTTTTTTTTTTACATTTGTAATATTTAACTTGAATATAAATTGAATATTCACGTTCACATGATATTTAACTTTCACATATTTGAAATTTAAGTTAATTCAATAAACATTACGGTAAGTCAAAACTTGTAAAATGGTATATTATGCTTTAGAAGGATTTCTGCATTATTGGACTGGTTTTTCACTATAAAGGAGACATTGGCTACTTTCACACCGTCAGTTTTTGGGTTTGACAAATGCATGTACCTACAGGAATCTCGAAATGTCCCGTTCAAACCAAAACTTCCCGGAAAGCAGCATATCGAATACTGTCTGTATGAACGTGCAACGGCGGTCAAATCCACATTCACTTACCAGTGACTATAATATCAGTGACATCCGTAAAACTGAAAAGCCTTAACATATTTGATACGACAAGAGTCCAATCGAGCTGCGATTTCATCCATCAAATCTTCATTAACCGACAGCAGTTTTTATATCTGGGTGCGAGAGCGGAGCATTTGAGTCAAATGTATAACACAAAACTGATAGACTGGATCTAAAAGCTTCAGAAAAACTTCTACAGCTTCTAAAACCGTATTAAGGACTCAAATACAGGCCTGACCATCATTTCTGTTGCTGTGTGAATGTGGCCTTTTTTCTGAGAACCTAAGAATGTTGAAAAGGTTGTAGTGAAAAGAAAGGCGGGAAGTTGTAGTGGCGGTTCAACTGCATAAAGCTTGGTTATTGAATTATAAATATGTTTTTTTGTGAATTATATGAAACTATCAGAGAGGTTTAGAAGAATATTGATTCAATCTCTTCATTTTGAGTGTATTTTTGAGTCATTAGCATCTAGATGTGGTGTTCTGCTCTACTTCAACTTTAACACATTAAGTGACCTCATCTGAAATAAAAGAATTACAGTAATTTAATCAGGAAGAAGAAACAGCCGAAACTCTAGAAGTGGAGTGTTTTTAGCAAGAATTACAATAACCCAATCGGGGAGAAGTAAAAGCCTATATTCCACTTTCAGTGGCACTAAACTGTAAAAAAAAAAGACCCAATTATGACTGCATTTCCGAGCTGTTAGTAACAACGCTTAAGTTTCAAGCTTGGTTTAGGTGTCATAAAGATTTTGTGAGGAAACTTTCACGCATGGTGTGAGAGAACTGTGTTTGGGCCGTTTCTGCACTGCATCGTGTGGGTTGAGATTACTCTCTTTTTCCATGAACGCATAATGAATGCAGAAGGCCAGAGTGAGTTTACCTTCAAGAATGACGAATTGAATATAAATCTAAACAGACTAAGAAGGTAAATGAAACGGTTCCCTGTGGAGATGAAGTGATCTGAGGGAATCACAGTCAAAGTTGTTAGTGGAGTGGTTTTGGCCTGTGTGTGTAGTGTGTTTATTTAATACAGTGATCAAAAGCTTCTCATATCGGCTGGGGTGCTAATAATAATAATAGAGAAGAGAGGTTCCATGTTTAGGATATTTATGTGCTATGAATACTAGCATACGGCGCTGAATAAGGTCTACAATTTTTTTTTTTATAAAAAGTATGGGACTAACTTTTTAACACTATGCAACATTTTGGTGACAAGACTTTACAAGATTTTTTTCATAAGCAGAATACACATAATTTCAACCAAACATTCATTGTAATCCAGTAGATTTAAAATGCTTAATCCAAGAAATAAAAATAGTCGAGGCATGTCTTTCCGATTGGTTTTTGAAAAAATTAAACACCAGTGTTGTTAAATAAAACTATTAAAACATGTTTTTTAAATGAAAATAAACTAATATTATATAATATATACATTTTAGATTTAAAAACCTAATGTAAATTAAAAAATGTTGTCTTGGTAAATAACTGAAATAAAGCATGTTTGGTTTAAAGTACTTAAATTACGAACTAAAACTGAAATAAAAATGTAAAATATATATACTTCAACTTAAACTAAAATTAAAATGAAAACCGAAAATATAAAATTGAAAACTCGTAACTTTAAAACATGAAATAGCAGATTCATATGCAGATTCATTTTGCAAATTCATTTCTACACGATGCTGGGTTGTTTTAACCCAAATTTGGGTCAAATATGGACAAACCCAAATTTTGGGTTAAAAATGTAATTTAAAATTTTAACCCAACTTCAACTTTCACTTTCAACTGTACATTTTTTTATTACATTTTTAACCCAACATTTGGGTTTGTCCATATTTGACCCAAATTTGGGTTGAAACAACCCAGCATTTTTTAGAGTGTACATTCAACTCTCCTTCAGTGGACTATTGTTACAATTAGCCATTGGATCTGGTAATTGTTTCATGAGGTGGCGATTTCGTGTGAATTTATACAATGTGATTTGACTTTTTAATTATTTATTTACATAAAAAATGTCACACGGAGTAAAAAAAAAAAAAAAAAGAATTAATCCGAGTTTGTTTTCCAGTTTAAACTGATTTACAGAGATGAAGTCAAAATTGCTAACTCTAAAGCTGTTTTTGATAATGAAATCTTTAGCTCTCGTACTTGCAAGTATTACTTAAATTTATACCTCTGCAAATTTTATAACTCCAGCATTTTTTGTCATATTTGTGTAAAAGTTTCTCAGCCTGCAAAAAAAATCAATAATAAAGGCTATTACTTTTGCCTCATCACATTACAAATGGAGTGCAGTGCACATACTGCACATTTTTTTTACAAATCCAAATATTCTATGCATACAGAATATGTGCACAACGCACACAGTATGCATACCGCAGCATTAGTATGAGTATGTTGTATAGCCCACACTGTATAAAATGAATACATTAGAAACAAAAATACATGTACGCCTCCCTGAAAGGATGCAAAAAGTACGATTATTAGCATGGGTGAGGAATTTTGGTACAAATAAGAGTAACCCTTCAGTGAATTATCTGTCTTTCTCTCTATTCTTCTTTATAAAGGTTTTTCTATAGCGGTGAAGAGGATTACGTGTTTGTGTCTTGCCATTCCAGTCCCATTGGATGATTGGATTGGATGAGGCATTTTCAAACAGGAAAAAAATGCACAAAGGAAGTGAAAAAAAGGGAGAGAGAGAGAGAGAGAGAGTACAGTGTTCCGCATCATAAAAGCAGGTTTAGCACAAAACCGGACCCTTTATCCAGCTCCCATACGCACAGACACTGTCAGAACTGTGTGAGCTATATGCACATGCACCTTTACACAGCGAAAGAGAGATAAAAGGAAAAAGGGCCAGAGAAAGGGGGAGAGGTGGAGAGAGAGACAGAACAAGTGAAAGAGTGGAGACAGAAGGGAGAAATGTGAACAAGCTAAAAATAACCATCAGAAGTGCCTTTTTGTATCTGCAGTGAAGCAGAGAATTCATTCAAACCAATGCTAATGCAACTCTCTCTCACACACACACTCACAGCATTTGTTTCTGGATTCTGACCCGCACAGGTTCTTGTGTTTTCGAAGCCGTTGCGCAACTATCTGAAATTCCTCACGCACACTCTTGAGGAGGGGGTGGCAGGCCAGAGAGAGCTACGAGTGCTAGTACACATGTGCTCTGAGTACTGCAGCAGGTTAGCTGCGTTAGCATTAGCGCTCTGCGAATGTGCAAGTTTTCTCCAGATCTGAGGCGCCCTCACCTTCCATCTCCTCCTCCGCCCAGCTGCCCCTCTGAGCTGCTGATTTGTGTACCACAACCATCTGCTCAGACTAATTAACTAATTAACTGATTAATGAACTCTGGGGAAGAAAGAATGCGCTGTCAATGGGCCTTGCGGGTTAGCTCCGTTTTTCTTACCAGGGCCTAAGAGTTTCCTGCGTTTCCCTGTTCGCATTACCCCCTCACCTCGCTCACTTTCTCTTTCTCGGCATCTTCCAGTTCTTCATCAAATCTGTCCTATTTGAAGGAACAGATTACCCTAATTAGGTTCCTAATTCCACACGAGTCTTTATTTCAGCAGTTTTTACACTTTTTCCGCCATTCGCCACCAGCTAGCACAGAATTCCCGAATTATGATTCACTCACTGCCGTGCACCTCTCGAAGATGTTTGCTTTGAGCTATATTTATGTTTCTGAAACCCGCTTTTAATTTTTTTGATGTGGCCGCTAATCGCGTAATTATAAATGCAAAGGGAAACAATGAATGTTTGCAGTGTTGCTTTCTGAGAAGTGGAGGAAATTATTTTTGGAGATGTAAATGGCACCTCGGAATGAAGAGGGCACATTTTCATATTTTTATACCTGCAAAGGGTAAAAAGCAGCGTTGAGATTTAGCATGATTAACTACACTTGTTTATTTATATTTCAGAGTAAATGATTACAAAGACTAAAGAAGTCGTCAATGCTGCTATTTGGCGGGAGTTCCACAATCTCGTAACTATTTTACGTAATTTGTATTTGTATCCCAATTGTACTTATGCCCCGCTGATGGGTAGGTTTAGTGGTGAAGCTTCGTGTTTATTTTCTTCTTTAAATTTATATTTTTGTACAAATGTATATAATATCTGGACCAAATCCAATGGCTAATATTGTCGAAAGCTAAATCTCATCTCTTCGCCATCACTCTTCTTTCAGTAGCAGTA